GCCCTGAGTTCCTACCTTGGACTGCCCAGATGAACTGTGACCTGGGATATGTAAGCTAAGTAAACCCTTTCCTCCCCAAGTTGATATTGATCAAAGTGTTTTGTCACAGCAATGGAGAAACACACTAGGACACTTAGCCAACCATTTCCATTGCCTTGCTTCTGGTTAATAGCTTCTAACTTACACCTGCTAATGCCCTCAAGTCAGAGCTGGAGGCATACCTGAATCTTGCTTTCCATTACAAAGCTTTACCACTGCCCTGTTTGCTTTGAGTCATTGCCAAATGCAAGTGATGGTGACCATCTGCCTTGCTGGAGCAAATTTGAATACAGGTCAGTCCTTTTTGTCCCTGGGAGACCAGTCTCAAGATCCCATTAAGACATCAGACTCCAAGGATACTCAAGTCCTGCTCTGAAAAAAATATGTACATAAAACTGACACACATTTCCCCATTTCCTTTAAATAGTTTCTAGAGATGAGTCTCTCACTGACTTGGAACTTACCACATAGGCCATGCTGGCTGAACAGAGAACCCCAAGGATCTGCCTGTCTCTGCCTTCTCAGTGCTAGAATTACAAGTGTACTACTAATGCCTGGATTTTTAATGTTTTTTTTTTTAATGCACATGAATGTTTATCCTGCATGAGTATACATGCACCAAATGAGTGCAATGCTTGCAGAGGCCAGAAGAGGGCGCCAGATCCCCTGGAACTTTAGTTTTAGATTGTTGTAGCTGTCATGTGGGTGATGGGAACAGAATCCTAGGTCCTCTACAAGAGTAGCTACTGCTCCTAACTGCTGAGCCTTGCCTTTTTTTTTTTCTTTAACGTGGGGTCTAGGGAATTGAACTCAGGTCCTCGTGCTTGAATGGCAAGTATTTTACCCACTGAGTTATCTCCCCAACCATGTAAATAGTTTTTATACCATATATGTTAGAGGAAATTGACAAAAAGAATTTGCATATTTAATACAGATGCAATTTTTATCCTGAATATTTTCAATCTATAGTTTGTTATATTCATGGACATTTAACCTATAGCTACAAAGACTGGCTGTCAATATACCTTGAGTGTTTACATTTGGGTATTTGCTTATTCCCATATTTGGAACTCACAGGTTAGAAGTGAGTTCGGCTATCATTTAAGAGGTCCAAAGACAGACCATAGTCATTTGCAGTTTCCTAAGACTTGAACTTAAATTGCTGCCTTTGAAACTGGTATATTGGAGAGCTTGCCAATGACTAGGCTGGATACACACAAATTTGATTTTGTATTTACATTGTGGCACAAGTAATTTGGGGAAAAATTACGTTCTCTAGACTGAATTTGGGAGCACTTTTTGGAAGGTGTCAGACTTAATGTCTGATGGATCTTAAAAGACTATAATAGATTTCAAAAGTGCTTAAACAGGGATCAACTTTGAAGAATAAAAAGGAGACTGATAAAAAGATCAAGCCTGTGAGACAAGGAAAAGAGCTGCCAATGAACTGTATTAGCAACCTGACCCAAGTTACTCCATTTTGCCCAGAGCAGCTATTTCAAGAGTGACTTCTGTTCCACTTATGGGAAATACCCAGAAGGGGGGCAACCTTGAGTCCTGAGAAAATGGCCTAACCACAAAACTGTGAAATATGTTGATCTGGGACATCCTGCAGCTGGCTAACTGCTTGTTTTGCTTCTGTAACTTGCTTGCTATTTCAGGTCACCTTGACATATAGTATGAGACCACCCTATTATTCAGTGACTATCTGGTAACTGTTGATTTTGACTTCTGTTACAATGTTTGCTTCTTATGGCTAGGTAGTTGACTAATTTTAAAAATTGCCGAGTTGTACACTTGCCTAGCTTGCCCACACAGTAACAGACTGTTGATTGGTGGATTCAAACTCTGCTATGTTGTACAAACCTGATTGGCTCACAGATGTTCTGTTTAAACTATGCTTTTTATAATCCTATAAAAACCCTAAACGGCTAATGTTCGAGGCTGCTTCTACTCCCAACATAGACAGCCCATTGGTGGTAATAAAATTTTGCCTTGCTACTTTCTACTAAAATGGTGTTCGTGATTTTGTTCAAACTCTGACCTGCAACACCAACAGATAGAAATAGAGAATTAGGAAAGGAATTAGGTATATTGAAAAGATCAAGAATCAGCAGGATGTTCAAGTTCATTCAACCAATATTGGCTGTCAACTCTGTAATAGGAATTGTTCTATACACAGCGGAGAAAAAACAAAAATCCTGCTGTTGTGGAACTCATATTTTAAAATGTTATTGTTGAGATGTGATGGGAAGGGAAAGACAAAGATCCATGTTTCTAAGACTTATCCACAAAGAAATAAGAGGTGGGGCTGCCAGGCATGGTGTCCCATGCAAACAGTCATAGTCAGACTGTTAGAAATGGTAGAGTCCTTGTCTAGCACCTACAAGCCCTGAGTCTGACCCCTAGGTATTTGAAAACAAAACAAACACAAACAACAACAAAACAACACAAAACAACAAAAAACTCAGAACATGGAAGCTACCAGATCAGACAACAGATAGTAACTTTCCAAAGGTGACCTTGAAGTGACTGAGGATTTAGCCGGGGTAAGGTGTGCAGACATACATATGGCAAAAATGGAAGGAATTCCTGAGTTGGTCAATTTCCTTCAGACAGCCAGGGGGAAAACATTAATAGAAGAGTTGAACTAGGTTTGCTACTATATGAAAACAATCTACTTAGAATTAGTTTATATGACACAAGAACATTGGCACCATTGTCATTTAGTAGATGCTCTGAAAAAGGGGGCAATACTGGCAACATATTTACATGCTATCATTTTAGAAACATTTATAGCTGGAGAAATGGAGGCACAGTAGTATTGATAATCTTCAAGATTCCATAACAATTGTCAGATTAGGAATTAGAATTCAGATTAAGAATTAGAACCCACTTTAGTTGACTCTTAGATCTTGAAAGATTAGCTTCATCATGCTTTTTTTCCCCAGACTATATCATATATGTAGATAAAAAATTCTTAAGTGTACAATGAACCTGGCATCCTAAGGTATGTCAATGAAATGGAAAAATAGTGCTGAAATAATGAGTTATGCCTAACTATATTCCCTGTATATAATAATTTCAAGTACATGGCTATAGGTT